AGACTGCGCTTGTCGGAAGGAGGGACTTTGTAGAAAACGAAGCGTTTGAGAGAGGCGGGGCATAGAGGACCTACAATAATGTACAGTATTTGAAAAATAATGTGTTTTTTTTAACATTAAAGCATGTCAACATATTCCGTTACACCAAATACACAAAATAATGATCTTTAAAAAAGCATCATATGACCCCTTTAAGTTCTTCAGATTTGTGTTTTGGTTTTGGAGGAATTTAAAAGAGTCTCTCCAAAAACATCAAGCAAAAAAACCCTTTCTGGCTTTATTTCTAACTTTGATAAGAGTACTGCTGAAAGTTTTAGGAAACTTGCTACCTTATGTTCTCTTTGATACTGGTCAACAGCATACTGATATTTGGCAGCGTTTAGACCCAGCAAACCAGCCATTTTCTCTCCAAGAAAATCACAAACTACAGAGAAATGAAGTCACAGTGAGTTATAATGATTAAATACAATATTTCTGATAGAAATGACAGAGTTTAACACAGTGTTGTACATTAGCATTTCTGTATTATCGTACGAAGCTCATGCGTAATTCATTAGAATTTGTATTTCGATATAAAAAACTGTATTCTAGCATCCACACTTAAATCTTCAGTAAAGACATTATATAACAATGTTTACATGCACTAATATTCCATCCTCAGTCGTTTGCTTATCTATTCAAAAAAGAAGCTTACGCGCATGCGCAGTGCTCAATCACTGCGTTCAGAACGGAGGAAGCCACTGCGATTAAATGATATCAAAACCGGAGCGACCGCGAGTAGAAATGCCGTTTTGCCTTGATGACATATCTAAAAAGAAACATATTTGTCATGTCAGAAAAGCTCTTTAGCGAACATTTACAAATATTCCGGTAGTTTACTGCTTATGCACAAGGTACCCTGTTGAAAAAAACAGCATATGCTGGTTAGGTATGTTTTGATGCTGGTTTAAGCTGGTCCTTTGCTGGTTTATGCTGGTCCTTTGCTGGTTTATGCTGGTCCTTTGCTGGTTTATGCTGGTCCTTTGCTGGTTTATGCTGGTCCTTTGCTGGTTTATGCTGGTCCTTTGCTGGTTTATGCTGGTCCTTTGCTGGTTTATGCTGGTCCTTTGCTGGTTTATGCTGGT